TGTCTATTTACTTGTGACCACTCAGTGTACAGGTACATCAACAAAGTCAATGTCAACTGGTTTTATACTTTCTTTTATAATAGATATTTTAATGTGTTTAGCTATGTTTGTTAGATACTGACAAACAACAAAACCTGTATTAATTATTTTGTATAGAAACCACATTAATAATAAATCAAACACAGAGCAAGTAGTAAATAAAATAAATGTATATGCATTTCACTGTTCATGTTTCCAACGGACAGTCCTCCAACTCTTCTAATCAAAATAATTTAAACCTTTTTTTTTTTCCTAATTACAAATGATTAACAAAAGTAAATACAGGTTTGCAGGATGTCCTGGTAATTTCTAAAACATTGATATCTCTTTTGACTCTATCTAACAAACGATAACAATGATAAAAATCATTCAACCAAGCTGTTGATGATATAGCAATTTCAGCTTTTTTTATTTTACTTTTTTTGAGATTTTATCATGCTGAATTTGTATGTTATTTGTGTTACATGTAATAAAACACGTCTCTCAGATCTGAGCACAAAACTGAAACCTTATCCAATTTGTCAGAAACGTTCATTTGATGTATATAACTAGCAGTCTTCTACTTCTAGAAAGATTACATGTGATTAATAGCAGAAAAACAATATGCTAAATAATAATGCAGGGCAACATTTTTCAAAACAACAGACAAAGGAATCAAAAAGTAAGATTTTGATAATATTTGACTTCTTTTACACATTGATTCTCTCGAATGCAAACACACAAGTCATTTCACAAAGATATTAAATCTTCAGTATTACTAATGGACCAATTAACAAACTACAACTTAATTTTTCTTTCTGACATAACTTTGAAGCATTTCTTTATTGACAAGTTGTTGTAAATTTTGTTGCTGTTCCTACTTTTTCACAAAATTTAAGTACATATTTTGATGAGATCTATATGCATGGCTAATCCACACGTTATCCTTTAGCAAAACAACCAATGTTTCGGATTCAAATTCACATATAATACCCATGTTCTGATGATATCCCACAATGTGCTTGCTGGGGCATTAGTTTTGATGGATGTCCTATTTGTATGGGATAATGATACTTGGTACCCAGCATTCAGAATAGCAGATCTGAAATAATAAGTTTGGTGAGTGAAAGAAAATATAAACTTTCATATTTTTTTGTCCACTAAAACAAATTTGTTTACGTGCTTTTTACAGACAGACTAAATTACAAACAAAATCTCAATAACCAAAAGAATTTTATTCTAATTAAAGCAATTAGATGTAAATTTTGTATTTTAAAACAACATATCTTAAGCATAATGTAAAATCTAAATTCTACTGGAAGATAACTTGTAGTAATTAATGAAACAAAGGAATTTATGACCAGATTTTGCAAGAAAATTCAAACCATTTTTTTGTGTGCAACTAATGAAACTAAATACAAATGAATATTTCTAAAATATTGCACCTGAACTGAAGCATGCTTGGCATGGTACAATGGACAACTCCACAAAGCCTATCTAGTGTATAATACAATGGACAGTCCTCCAACTCCTGTAAACATTTTGGAAAAGGAAGGATCAAATACAATTCAACTATACAAATACACAAGAACATACAAACACTTTTTTTTTTAACCAAACATTTAATTTCTTTTGTTGAAATTCCAATAAATAACATGATATAAATTTTACCAAGTTAGTTGTGTGAAAAGTGTGTAAATTGAATTTCTGTTATTGGTTGAGCACACTTGCTTATGCAGGTTTCAATGACTGTTTAGCTCTGATAATTTTACTAACAAATGAGAGAGTTTTTCATGTGCTTTGTAAGCAAAGACATTCCTTTTCTATTTAGGATTAGTTTCTTCAGTATTAATAGTTTGGAAAATCTTAAAAAAACTTTAAGATTTACAAATATTGATGTTTTTGACTAGTTGCATTAATATTACTGTTCATAAGGTTTCTAATAATTTTGAATATTTTTACTTGTTTAATATTTTATGAACATTATTTTGAATTGATAGCTTAACATACAAGTTTAGGACTGACTTAAACCTACTATGCTGAACTTCATGAAGTATTAAGGCCAAAAAAAAAAGCTATTGACAGCAAGGATACACAACTGGTAAGTTTATTATCACAGATTTTAGTTTTTTTGCCAATTTATTTATGATTAAAAGTTAGTAGATCTAGCTAATTTATTACATAAGGTTGGTGTCATTAATATGCAGTTTCTTTTACTTCTGATTTTTTTTTACTTATTTTTATATATATACTCAATTTTTTATGTTCTGAACTATTAAAATTAGATGAACTGTTTTACATATCTCATTGTCCCACCATATATTTCTTGTTTACAAATTGGTAATTATTCTAGGGTTCTTGCTTGTTTTTTAATATTCGCGCAAAGCTACACGAGGGCTATCTGCGCTAGCCGTCCCTAATTTAGCAGTGTAAGACTAGAGGGAAGGCAGCTAGTCATCACCACCCACCGCCAACTCTTGGGCTACTCTTTTATCAACGAATAGTGGGATTGACCGTCACATTATAACGCCCCCACGGCTGAAAGGGCGAGCATGTTTGGTGGGATGGGGATAACAGGTACTATAGAAATCACGAAATTAAACAAAGAATTCTGATATAACTATGTTACAAAACCTTAATTACCTTAGATTTTTATTGAACTATGTTTCTATATTTTATCTAAAACTCATTTTCTCAAACTTGCATACGTTACATCCTTATGAATTAAGTACTATATACTCTTAAAAGTTTAATAACTCATTTTTGGCAAGGGTATTATGATGAAATTTTCTTGATTTTTTCTTATTCACTGATGAGACAATAAGTTATAATTTTTGTAAGTATTTTAATAATACAATAGTTTTACCCTTTCCTCATGTATCTTTTGATTATGTGGTAACTTTCATTGAATCTCTTCAGATCTTCTTCTTCTCCAAACAAAATATATGACTGGAATGAAAGATAAATGGTTTTTTCACCTTTTATATGTTGGTACATTCCATAGCATAATTACCATGATTTACTTAGGAAAATTACATCAACTAAAACTACATGTTGATGGTAGACTTAGTGACTCAGATTGAACAACACACTTTCATATTTTCATTTACATAGGTGATGGGACATATTTGAATTGGGGATGGGGGGTGGTACTAAAGATTGAGGTCACCTTATTTGCTATGTTAACCCTGACCACTGAATTCAATACAGAAACACAAGTCTTTATTCTACATTTAAAGGGACATTTCACTACCAAGTATTCCCCCCTAGTTTTGCTTTCTATATGCAAAATCTTCGTAAATGGTCTATATGACAAAAATTATTGAAATAAGCAAGCTTTTTATTTTAAGTAGAAAAAATTAAAACATAATATATCATGTAAATAAACATAAAAAATGGTAGGTTAATATATATATATATATATATATATAT